CCCTTCGATTCATCAGTGATATTTGCTTGTAGCCATATGTCATAGCTGCAAGAATTTTTTTTTTGCAATTTTTTTAGCTGGGACCAAATTTGTCCAGATTGCTTTGGCTACTCCGCAGTCTCTAAAGCTGGGTCGAGCTGTCTCTGAAACTCCTCTGCGCCTGGGGCACGAATCATCCTAAGTTAGGTGGCGATTCATCCTTATCGTGTTCGTAGTCAGTTGACCACCATCCATATGAAAACTCTGACTCGTTCCGGGGTCTTCAGCTTTCAGATTCGTCTCTAATTTATATTTGGATCCATCTCCTCTTCGATCATGCCCATAAACGGTGATCTTCTGGTAAATTGGACTGAAGAAGTGAGCGTCCACATTGGTTGATCGCTCTCCGTCGCGAGAGGGTCCACCATGGTTGCTCGGATTCTGTTTGTAATCTGCTGCGGCAACTAGGGGTGGAAATCTCAAATACCAATAAGTACGGTATCAGTATCCCAATACCAAATACCAAAATCACCAAATTACAACCTAAAATCAATCCCAATCCCATTCATTAAATAATTTTGGTATTCTAATCCCAATCACTAAATATTTTGATATCTCAATCGGTACTTCGGTATCCCGATCGGTATTATCAAATACAAAATTAATTACCTTTGCTTAAATATATAATTAGATTTTATTGTTTAATTTAGGGCAAAAAGACTAAGCAAAAAGTCTTGAGTTTGTGTAGAGCTAGGGTATGGATAAGGAGAATGGAGGAGAGGTGACATCTCAAGTTCTTGTCATTGGTAATCTTTAATTTGACGAATTGGAGGTTGAGAGACGACTAATACTAGTGTTTGAATTTCGATGTTATGAAATAACAAGCGATTAGATGAGAGACGATAGTGACTTAAATTGGAAAGTCAAATTTGAGTTGGATGATAACTTCTAAGTTGTGAAATAGTGATGGAATGATCTATGTTAATTAAATGACACTCTTTGTAGTTGAGGGTCGTGTAGTAGTGAATGAGAGAGTCTAGTTGAGAGAATAAAATACACACTAGCTTATATTTTGACATCTCAAGTCCCTGAATCCCTAATACCGAATAACAATTGAAATTCAATCCCAATCCCAAGAAATAATACGTGTATTCGGCAATACCAAATATAGACAAATTCGGTACGGTATTCGATATATCCCAAATACCGATACCAAACTTCCACCCTAGCGGCAACAATTCTTCGAATTCCTTGATTTTCCAGCCATGATCCTCGTCCCATATGTCAGCAACCCGCATCTCCGCTTTGGTTCCGGAACTTCATCAGTTGCCAACTCAATAAGGGGAACCTGCGAAATCCAAGTGACACCAGAATTTTGTGTTACGTCCACCATTTTTAAGCACATGAGAAATGGATGTGAATCCTCGCCAGGCAGAAGAACTTCCCTTTACTTTATGTAGGGTAGTCATTCCTTCTCTCGTTCTACTGTATTTGCTTTTAAGTACCCTGGTGCAAAGGCTTGATCATTCATAGCCAATTTCCAGCTCCCCTTAGCAAGCATAGCCTGGTTTGTTGATCGAGTCAGTATGATTCCAGCTCCACCTCTACTACCGGTAAGTGTCATCTACTCCCAGGAGACTGGATGAAACTTGGGCTTGCCATCTTCTTCTCCCCAAACGAAGCACCTACTTAATTTATCCAAGGAAATCCAAACAGAAGTGGTGAGTGGTTCTGTAAACATAGGATAAACAAACATTAAAGATGAGACACATCACACTAAAGTCATTCTTGCAACTAGAGATAGATTTCGAGTCTTCCACATGGCTAACTTTGCTTGGATTTTCAAACACAGATCTTTGTATCTTGCTTTAGAAATTCGCTCACTGATTGTGTTTATGCCCAAGTATTTTCCAAGATATGCAGTCAAAGCTATGCTTGCCCTGTCACTTAACAACTTAGCTTTGTCTCGATGGATGTCGTCTGATACCAACATTGCTGATTTTGAGAGATTCACCCGCTGTACTGAGCTTACACATAAGTCTTCCAAGAATATTTGGATGACTTCAATCTGGCTGCTATTTGCTTCTACAAATAGAATTAAGTCATATGCGAAGAACGGGTGAGATAACTTAGGACCGTTATGGCAAAGAGACAGAAGTTTCCAAGTTTTATTAGAGACTTCTTGTTCAATACAATGAGATAGCCTCTTCATACAAAGAACATAAGATATGGGGATAAAGGGTCTCCCTGTCGGACTCCTCTTGTAGAAGTGATGGATTCTGTGAGTTGACCATTCTAGTTGATCTTCATCTGGTCGTTTTCCACACAGTACATTGTCCTGCTTATCTAGGTGCTTGGAAGGCCAATCTCCACCAGGGTATCCCAGATAAAATCCCATCTTAGTCTATCATACGCCTTCTCCAGGTCCACTTTAATCACCAAGCATCCCTTTTTTCCTTTTTTTCCCCGCAATGTATGGTTCACTTCTTGGAGTATGATGATATTTCCATTAATTGTCGCTTTGGAATGAATCCGCTCTGAGTTGGTGCAACCAACTTGCTCATAAATGACTTTAACCTGTTTGTAATTGCTTTTGTGATGGTCTTTAAGGCAACATTATTGAGGCAGATTGGTCGTAGTTGAGCAGGAGACTCTGGGTGTTCTGCCTTGGGTATGAAGACAATGGTAGACTCTAACATCTCATTTGATAGTTGGTAATGTCCTGTTGTAAAGAAGGAGGTAGCCATGTTAGTTAGATCTCTGCCAACTCGTCTCCACATTTTTTGATAAAAGACAACTTGTTAATCATCTGGCCTAGGAGCCAAGAAAGGTTTCATTAAATACAACTTTGTGTATGTAAGAAATGTTGAAGGGACGTAGCAATCCTATAAGATTCTAGGGAAACAATTCTTAGGCATAAGGTCCTAGTAGGTTGTGTCATCCTGGGAATATAAGGCAGTGAAGAAATCAGCACCATAGCAATCAGTTTGTTTGCATCATCCACCTAATTCCCATGACCATCTTTCAATGCCAGGATTTTGTTACGACATTGTCGCCGAGTAGCTTGCTAGTGGAACTAGGAGGTGTTTTGTTCCCCAAAATGCACCCATTTTTAATTTGCTCTTTGGAACCAAAAAACTTCCTCTTGCGCTAAAAGCTCATCCAGTTCGGATTCCTACTTGGCCAGCAGCTTGACGAGTCCTAGATTGAAGCTGTTGACAGCTTTCTTTGGTTGCCTTTAATCCTAGCCAAAAGCCTCTTTTTTCTATGACTGATGATGCCAAAAACTTCTCTATTCCAATACATTAGTTTCAGCGAGATATCCTTAAGAGCTTGGTGGAGTCCTGCATCAAAATTCCAGCAATTTGCAAAAAAATCATAAATTGTTTTCTTGAAGTAGCCAAGCCGCTTCAAACCTGAAAGGTTTAGAGTTGTCCTGAATGCGAGAAATAGTAGTAACGGAGGTAAGAATAGGCAGATGGTTGGAGTGGAGCTTATGTAGGTGTTGAACAGTGGTGTTGGAAAAAAATCAGATTCCACTCCGAGTTACAAAGGGACCTATCAATTCAGCTAAACCTGTAAGTTCTAGCTGATTCTCCCCTGAACCAAGTAAATTGGGATCCTGAAAAACTAAGGTCATAAATCTTAGCAGTGTCAATCCCGATACTTTTACCCAACCCAAAATACACATGGCTCCGGAGTCGATTTAAAACAACCTAAAAATTTTCATAAAACAAATACAACTGAATCCTTTTCAAATGTAATGCCCTAAACACTTGGGCAACTTCAAGCCATAGTCAATAAAACCACATAAACTCTGAACCTTGAACCTCCTATATATACTCGTAATCATGAAACATAAAACTACTAAACAAATTCTAGCCCTAACTCAACTCTTCGCTGAGCTTCCCGACCTCTCGTCCATGCTAGTGTGGCTGCTCTCTTCGCCTTGCCTCTTCTCGTAATCCACGTTTGCTAACCCTTCCTCAACCTGGCGAGTGAGAAGGGGTCAGTCTCGTCGTTACTTCCTAATGTCTTGCCCTAAGCAAGCCTTACCAACACATAATTAGAAAATTACTATCTTACATGAAAGTCGTTCTCGCTTTCATCCTTAACACCTTAGTCCTAAATAGCTTATAAAAGTTCTCTACTTCTATCTTAACTCACATTTTTATTACTAGGGTCCACTGCGTTACGTCTCGCCGTCCGGTGTCTCTACCTTAGTATGCTAACTTCGTTACGTCTCGCCGTCCGGTTGTATACCCAACTCGGCAATGGTGTGTGTTACGTCTCGCCGTCTAGTACCGTGCCCGATCAACTACTGCGTTAAGTATCGTCGTCCAGCAGTGACCCAACCATCTACTGCGTCCTGTAGTGGTCCAACCGCCCAGGTGTTCCTCTTACCATTAACCATACATCACAACATACATTCATACTCATACATACATAGAACAACGTGTGCCTCCATCTTAAGTAGGCAGTGTGATGCCTCACACACATAATTGCGCATAACTCAAAAATTAACTAGCATTACTTAAAGTAAAAGCATAAACTAAAAGATGTAAGACTGAGATTTTACCCCCTTTACACTCACCTAAAAAAGAAGACTCTGCTCAGAATCTGAAAATTCCCACCTCCCTCCTATAATACCCTCCTCGCTTCCACGATTCCATGAGCATAGGCGGTTCCTCGATCGGACGTCAATTGATCCAGTTATGGCCACAATAAACATTCCGTCAGTTCTCAAAATACCATGTACCGATTTTGTAATTTTCCACTCAACACCATTGACTCAGACCTCTGAGGAAAGTTACAATTATGGTCCCTACACTTTTCACATAGCCACGAATAGTACCTAAACTTGACTGGTTTGCACTCCAAACTTCTTATGCTCGTTTCTCCCTCGTCCGACATCATAATTCGATCGACACGGCGAGGATCCTGGGATTGCCCTCTTCGCAACCATACTCATATTTCAAAGAATGGTTGAATTTTGTTTTTCAGAGTTTTTTTTCCGGTGAATGCACCAGGAAGGATCGACGCCGACTGGTGAACTGCTTGTGGTGACGATGTATGCAGAGGGCGAGGTAGGCGGTTGCGCTTCCGTCCTGCTTCCGTCGCCAAGCGGCTACTGTTCGCTGCTTCTGTTTTGCGCTGGCGAGGTCGTGCACAGGAAGGGAGGAAGGTTGGTCGTGCGTTCTTGGTCGCCGCTGTTGGTTGAACGCGTTAGAGGAAAGGGAAGCTGACGACTTCCTCTATTCCGTCGCTACTTCTTCTAATAAATAAAAGGATGAGTTTTAATTGGGATGGGGAATTAAGGGCGATTATTTGACTTTCGAGAGAAAGAGAGAGAAACCGAAAGAATAAAGGAGAAGAGGGAGGGAGAATGGGGAAGTAACGGTTTGGTTGAGGAAACCTTTCTTTCTTTCCTTTTTTTTTTGCCACCATTCCGTCCCTTCCCTTCCCTCTCTCACGGCCAACAACCCACTTTTCCCCTTCTCTTCATTTCAGCGCCCACACACAAGCCGGACTTGACCCATTTCTTTCCCTTCTCTTTGACGCCCACAACTAGGCCGCCCTTGAAACTTCGACCAAGCCCACTCAGAAAATAGAGAACCATTAGAAGAACAATCACACTCAAAGCCCACTTGGTTTGGTCTTTGAGTGGGTTGCTCCAAAGTTCGACCTATGATCGTAACTTTCTCACTTTAAATCGAAATTCAACGTCGTTTGAACCGATAGTTCAGATTTTCAATTATCATTGATATTATGGTGAAAATTGACATATTACATCAAGATCATAGTAGTAATTTTTCCTTTTGGAAAGAGCGGGGTGTAACAATCTAGTGTAGTTCTAATATATGAACTTCATCAAGATCATGATAGTAAGGCCTCCATCATGTGTAGTAAAATAGTTGGATTGAGGTGTGGCTTTTTATATATGGGAAACATGCGTGGTGTAGATGGTAGGTGAGGAATCAGAGTTGGTATATGTGGTGGAGGTAGATCTTGATTTTGAGACTCGCTCATCTCAGAAGCATATGAGAGACAACCATCAACACTAACTTTTTGATATGCCATAGTTTTAGAGGAATGCTAAGAAATCGATTAAGAAATGAAAAAAAATGAGTTGAGATATAAGTTAATGAAAAATCAGATTCTGATATCATGAGAAGAAAAGGAAAATATGATTTTTTGTGAAGATTATCAATGGAGAACTTTAGTTTTCTGTATTGCAATATATATACCCAACTGTACGAAGACATTGTGATTACCTAATCGGTAATCTACAATACTTACTTAATAATCAAAATAGGTCCATAAAAGCTATAAAAATAGCCATTTACTTCTAAACAAAACTAAGACTAACACAAAGAAGGACGAAATGATTCCATTTTACGTCGAAGATGTTCTACTGATTAGCTAAAAATGTCGTCTTTCTGGAGTCAACTGATTTATGTGCTTCAGTTAACTTTCTTCTTGTTGCTATGACTTCAATACAGATTATCTGTCGCCAACTAGAAGTCACAAATCGTGCTAGTGAAACTTGGTCTCTCCTGCCCATAGACGCTACAGCTAGCACATATCGTGTTAATGAACCACGTAAATCTGTGTGTTTTTTACTTTTTTGTATTTTCGATTTCCCAATCCATTGTAACACATCCTTCTCTACCTGTACCATTAGTTTGCAGCAACAACTCTTGGATGATTTCTTGAATCTCAAGCTGATGTTAGCCGATCATTCTTTTTTTTAAGTGAGGACTCTGTACCAATGTAGTCAAATACGTGGTTCTACGCAGAATCATAAACATGAGTAAAAATGTAAAAGCGTAAGGTTTTGTATATAATCTGATTAATCTTAGCAAACTACTTATCTCAATTAAAAAGTCACTACCCACGTAGATAATCTTATTTGAAAAACTTTTAATGGTGGAGCAAATGTACAACTAAACTAACAATGCAATAACGAAATAACGAGGCTTTTGCATTCATAAAAAAAAGTATAACCAATTAACAATTACACCACATTATTGTCCGTTTTGCTTCAATCTGTATGTCAAATTACACAGGATTAGTGAGGCTTCTTTTATTATGAGGTTCTTCATCCATTGAACGCAAGAAATCAGAGTATTAGTATATATTAATCACTTAAGTCGCACATCAAGCAACATAGTAATCACTTGTTTATGTGGATGATTGCATACATGTTTCCATTTGTGGCTTAACTGTTGATATGACTTCATGGTTGTTCGATAAGGGGTTTTGACATGGTGTGATATTATGGTTGTATTTGGATCCATAAGTGGGGGAATAAACTTCCCAGAGTGATATTATGATGTTTAAGGAGGATGACTTGCACGAGGGTTTATCCCGAGGAAGTGCAATTATACGACTCCTAATTTACCTATGTTGAGCCAATTATGGCCAGGTCAAGTACATGTGTAAGTAATGAATTATGATTAAGCAAGATGAGATATGAATCATGTACAAGGATACCAAATATGAGTGTTGTGGTCTCACGGTCAACTACATAGTAATTAGGGCTCCCTATGCTATTACTCTATTATGATATGTATGATAGTCACACCTCTCATGTGGTGGTGAGTGAAGAATTCTCACGAGATATGACCACACCCAGAGTGGTGTCGGGGTATGACTACACCCATAGTGGTGTGGGGTATGTATGACCACATCCGACGGGATGTTGGGGTATGTATGACTACATCCGACGGGATGTGGGGTATGTTTCCCGGGAGAGTTATTAGCATGGGAGTAACCAGGCGCCTACGAGTAAAACATGATAAGATGCATATGCATAAGTCAAGGTGGTTGAGTCTTTTGCCTATTGGGATGTCGGAGGGCTGAGATCGGATCCCAGTGCTTTGGCTTGTTTGCCAGATGTATGGTAGGGGTATGCTCTGTTATGAACTCACGATGCTATGATTATCTCACTCAGCTATGAGCTGACCCTCTATATCCTTTTTCTCTGCTTATGCTATGTGTAAGCAGATCATCAGCAGCAGTAGATAGGTGTATAGGTGGGAGCTGAGAAAGAGTTGAAGGCAAGATGAGGTATGTTCTTCAACCATTCTGTGCTTGGACTACTACTCGGGATTTTGGCCAGTGATCCACACCTTTTTGTAAAAAAATGTTTTCAGAACGTTTTTCATGTGCATACTAGCTTCTGATGTAGTGTGAGATATCCACAGGTGTGAAAAGTTGATGATATGTGTATATTTGTGTAACTGTGTAAGTTGTGACGATTATGGTATGTATAAGTATGGTATGCAGTTGTGTAGTATGAAAATGTGACTATGGCTATGAAAAGCCAATGCATATGGTTGTGAGTATATGTGTTTGTCTATGAATGCATGGATTCAGACGAATTATTTTGCAGGATCATATGGAAGAACTGTTAGCCCATTACGCGAGTAATTCATGTCGAAATTTTATTTAGATAAATTTTGATAATTAATGTAACACCCGAGATTAATTCCGTTGCAATTGTATGAACAATATGATTAGGTAATACGTACAGGGTAGGGTGTTACAGTTTGGTATCAGAGCCCGGTTCCCTCTTTTTGCTGTTATGGCGTACTATACCCTATGGGAGGTTAAACACTCCTAAGGAGGGGAGTACCCCATAATGACTTAAACTGGGAATTGAGTTTGACATGATTATGTGTATTGGTATATTGGATGAAATTACTTGCATCATGGTTTTCAAAATTGAGTTTTGAACTTATTTGTTTTCAAGTAATTATTTTGGAAATTTTTTTTGTTTTAACCAAGTGAGATATTTGGTGAAGAATGAATTTTGTGTGGATCAAGCTAAGGCCAATATTTCCTTGTAGCTCGCACGGAAGTTGTGAAAATGTTCCTACTGACCAGTCGAGAGGAGTGGGGGCGGTTGATGCAAGACCGCCAGTATTAGATTATGCAAAGATGAAGAGTTTGGGTGGTAGGGACTTTAAAGGAGATGTGAGTCCGGATGCTGTGGTAGAGTGGTTGAGGGAGATGGAAGATGTGTTTGAATATCTTTATGTGACCCCAGAGGAAAAAGTACAATATGTTGTTTTTCTCCTAAAGGGGTACGCGAGGAGCTGGTGGTCCTCAGTCTCTAGAGTTAATGGTGAACGAGTTCAGTTCACCTGGGAGGAGTTCCTAAAGGCCTTTAAGACAGAGTTTCTTCCCGAAGCTTTTATCAGGGCAAAGAACAATGAATTCGCCAACCTTAGGCAGGAGAACATGACAGTTACTGAGTACACCATCAAGTTTGTTCGACTACTCTATTTTGAGGATGGGTTAGCGGATACTGAGCATAAGAAGAAGATGAGATACTTGCATGGTCTGCGCATAGGATTGAAAGAAAAGATCCACAGGGTTGATGAAGAGAGCATGGCCACAATCAAGGAGGCAGCACTTAAGTATGAAGCCTATGAAGTTGAGAGCCGAGAGGGACACAAGGCCAAAGAAGAGGAAGTTTGGAGTAAATTATGTTGGACCTCGTTACCCACCCAGGAGAGGTCCTAGCAGTTTTGGGAGAATACCGAGTCAATCCATGTCAGGAACATCATACAGGGCACCAATTTCCTCAGCCACACAATTTCCATTTTGTCAAGTTTGTCAGAAGAGGCATCTTGGAGAGTGTAGGAGATTTTCTGGTGTATGCTTTCACTGTGGCCAACCTGGGCACATCATGAGGGATTGTCCGCATTCGAGAGAAGTAAGAGCTACACAGTCCGAGCCTTCAGTGCAAATTAGTAGAGCCCGATTCAGGGGTGGTTACCAGGGAGGCCGTAGTGGATTTCAGAGTGGTCGTGGTGGTTCACAGGGTGGTAGAGGTGGTGGTCGAAATCAGCCATCAGGAAGTGGTACGCAGGGTACCAGAGCACAGGGAGCACCAAGGGTTTATGTAATGACTCGAGGTGAGGCAGAAGTGGTACCAGAAGTTGTGACTGGTATGCTTTCTATCCTTGGCAAGCAATTATATGCTTTGATCGATACTGGTTCCTCTCACTCATTCATGTCATATACGTTTGCACATATGCTACGCTTAGTTCCAGATAAGCTAGGTTATACCTTATGTGTTAAAACACCTGTGGGAGATACCTTGAAGGTAGATTCAGTTATTAGAAGTTCCTTCATTTGTGTGGAAGGAGCTTTCCTAGCAGCAGATTTAATTCTGCTACCTTTTGATGAAGTTGATGTCATCCTTGGAATGGACTTTCTGGCAACACATGGA